GGAATTTTGTACCCCTCTAAGGCAGTATTAAAAAGAGGAAGAAGAAACTAAAAGTTTTCCTTAGAATACTGAAAGTCAAGTAATATGTAATTCTGTAGCTGACTTGCCTAAACATTTCCCATTTTCCTTCCATTCTTTATATGCCCCACGCCTGACAAAATGCACAAAGTGAATGTCAACCCCTTTTTGGGACTCCTGTTTCATACCTGCCATTGTTCTTTTTTGAATCCAAATCCTGGAAACATTGTTACTTACATGCAAATATTTCTGTAAGACTGGCACCCACTACTTTTTCCTTATCCATACTGAGCTTGTGGTAGCCATCCTCCAACTAGGCAAAGCTCCCTTCTAGCCCATTATGTGCCATGCTGCCATGCCTTCAATTTTTAGGAAGAGCTGGGAACTTCAGTACTCATTTTGAATATTTAAGAATATTCACAAAGCATACACCTCAAAGTATACTATATGAGATGAGGCACTTTCATTGAGCTTTTACCACATGCATTTTGTCAGTCATGGACTTCAACTAGATTTTTCTCAAAGCACAGGAATGTTTAGAATCCTACTCATTATGTGGTTGAACTTGGAATGTTAAATTTCAATTTTTGGTTTATCTCCAGTATTTATCCTGAAATATGACAGGATACAAGTCCACATAGAAATGTCTAGGCTCTGGTGACTCAAGGCTGAGATTCATTTTCACTTGAAGGACTGGAACAAGTGGCAACAGGGCCTTTCGACTAAATGGATCATTTTTTGCTTAATCTTTTAAAAAGAGTCCATTGCAAAATACTAAATTCTTTACAGGGAGCTCAAAGCTTTTTATCAAGTCATAAAGGACATATCAGCACATGAGCAATGCAAAGTGCTTCACTTTAATGTAGCACATATTTTAGCTTAGATGCTGAAATCCTTTAATAGAGCTGCAGCGCCATACATTTCTTTTATGTAAGTTAAAACATTTGTTATGCTGGATTGATGATTCTTTTACATCACAAGATGTCAAGCTTTAACTGTAGTTTAATTCTTCTGCCTCAGTGCACACATAATGTGGTGTAACTGGCATAGATTGAACTCTCCTCTGTTAGGTTATTCTGTTACGCTCAAGAGCAGAATTCCATGAACATCTCCTTTGCAGCCCCTTTGGTCAGAAAGAAAGACATTCTCTTGCTGCGATGAAGAACAGAGATGAACAATAATACTGCTACAGCTTATAGTAAATTAATTGAGGGTAAGTCACAAGTTTTTGCAGCTTTTCCGTGTTGCATTCTATACACCAATGCAAAACTATTTTCTCTTTTCTATGTCATTAGATGAGACAGTCCGCCTCTGCGGAATTCTGCACATAGATTTGTATAACTCTCTTTTGAATGGTACATGCATACATCTGGTCTGTTTGCCCTGTTGTCTATATTGTGTACATATAAAAAGTTTCTTCAGTGAAACAAAAATTGGAAAACAATCTGGACATTGCCTTTCACTTGCATGTAAGTGTTATCAGATACGGAAAAAGCGTTACATCCTCTCCAACTATCATATGTAAAAATAATAATTAAACAACTCCAACTATTTCTCCTTCTTGTAGTCATACCTAGACATGGTTATAAAGTTGTTCATGCCCTGGTAATTTATAAAACTTATCCTCTCAAATCACATTTTATTAAACCCAAAGATTTTTTTTTTTTAAAGTAATTAAAAAAATTAAAGTATACTCAAATAATATAGCCTGAAGCTCATTTTTAAAAATACCTTTAAGCATAAAGGTTTTTCTCCATTTTGCTTGATATTCACCATGAGTTTTTCAACAAAGAAGAAACAGACTATGGTCTCAATCTACCAAATGAAGCAATAACCTTGGAGTGCCCATGGAGCCCTGTTTACAGGATCTGGGCCTAGCTGATAATATAGAGCCAAGGAATCAATAGAAAGACTTGCATTTATTTCATTGGATTTTGGATCAGGCCATGCATCCTGTCAAATACACAAGTTAAAGAAATAAACCTAACAAAAGAACTCAAATATAATGCCATAGGGTATGTGTAGATGAAATGGTGGCCCTAAATTGAAGCGGTGGATTTAAAAAAAACACTGCTTCAATTTAGGGCTGATTAAACCCCCGTGTTGTGCACACACCCTGCACTTACCTGCCTCTCCGGTGGTGGGGAGGGGAGGGCAAGCTGCCAGCGGACAGAGTGGTTCCTGGGCTGCGGGGGGCTGGTGCTTCTCTCTGTGGCAGCCCTTCCTCCCTCCCCCCCCCAGGTGGCACCCACCCGCAGGCACCCGTCTCAGGCGGTCCCGGGGGGCACCGCAGCCACAGAGGGAAGCACCGGGCCCCCGCACAGCTCAGGCAGGCAGGCAGGCTCCGGGGTGAAGATCAGGCTCGCTGTTTTTCTTGGGCAGAGCCTGCCCTCCTGGGCTGCTGCCAGGCTGCCTGCAGGGCTTCCTGCAGAGCCGTGGAGCTGTATGGAGCCCAGTGCTTTGCTCTGCAGCTGTAGGGGCAGCAAACAAACTCCTCGAAGGAGTTTTAGTTTGCTGTGCCCCAAGTCATTTAAGGCACATTACACCGCCAAATTTACTATAGCGGCTGGAATTAATGTGCAATATGCCGCTGAGGCGTGCAAACACTGACACCATTAAAGCGGTACAAAAGCATCTAGCCCACTTTAAAGTGTTGTGCACACACGCCCCTCATGTCGTCTACACATGGCCATAGATGTCTTTCAGTGACAGTCAGCTTTAGCGTTCTTTCTAAACATACAAAAAGGTACAGCATTTTCAGAAAGATGTGATTTCCTTTTAATTTTAAATTTAAAAAATATTAAACGTTAGGAAGCTTTCCTGATATATTTGAAAAGAACCAGGTCTGACTTTCTTCTCTGTTCTTTTAACTACCTCAATACATTGCTTGTGGATTCAAACCTATTCTAACCTCCCCTACATAGCTTTCTGTCAGTCTCTTAATACCTACATGGAAGGACAATAGATTACAGGCTTAATTAGATGTTAACATGACCCAATTGAGATTCACAGTCTTAAAGGTTTCATATATTCGTTGACCTAATAAAGGTATTTTTGGGAAGCAGAACTTAGGTTACTTCCAAATTAACTAATGTTGAGAAGAGTTAATAACCAAAGCAATTTAGCAAACATCCAGGAAAATAACACACACAATTCTTTTGTGAAGAAACTGAGGTAATTACAGTGCCTTACAACAATTTTGATATCAAGTCTACTAATGTGCTGTGTTATCCAC